GAAAGAAAGAAAGAAAAGAAAGAAAAGGAAAGAAAAGGAAAGAAAAGAAACAAATAAAGAAAAGGAAAGAACAAGAAAGAAAGAAAAGGAAAGAAAAGAAAGAGAAGGAAAGAAATGAAGGAATACTCATGGCTGGAATTTAGGCTCTCAGCCAGCCATCAAATTGACTCGATATGCATTAGGCCCAAGGGCCAAAATATGAGCATAAAGAATGGACTTTTCCTGCAGTGTTGTAATACTGGTTATTACTGTGTGCAAAATGTCAAAGAAAAGTTGTCACAGTAATTTTTTATTTAATAATGTGAGAAGAATGAGAAAGCAGTACATAGGAATTTAAAAAAATGCAAATTACTGCAAGATTGAAGTTATCTTGTTGATTGTATTTATCTCTAAGGGTAAAGCCAGTGTTCTCAGGTCAGAATTTACCATACTTAACATAATGCTGTTTTGGGGGGGGTTCTCCTAAGTTCATGTACATTAAATTGAAATTCCGTGGTTGGAAGAATATAATTTTGATCCTGACCAGGTCCACACTAGTGTTTTAATTCAGATCAAGAGTGTATTTCCACTGAAACTCACAGTACTGTCACCACCTCCTTGACCACTGTTTCACATTGCAAAAAACTTCTGAAAAATACAGCCTGGGCCCTTCCAGGTGAGCCTCAACTGGAGGATTTCCTGCCCCTTATGCACTGTGTCTGCCAGTGAACTGGCAGACAGCCCATGAACTGGACAATAGTTCATTCATGGTAGAATAAATTCATCAAATACATACAGTGGGTATGAAGTCTACCTGTTTTTTCTCTTTAGTCTGACCCTTGAAGGTCTGCACAGCATGCTAATGTAGGGGTGGCCTACAACCACTAGACGAGGCTGGAGCGGAACAGTAAACTCTCTGGGTGGATTTTATAGATATTTGCCCCTGCTACTTGTCACTGTCTGTCTCTGCATAACTTTTTAGTAAAGGGTTTTGTTTAGTCTCTCAATAAGATTTCTGTGTCATACTGGGAAAACCAACTGTAAATGTAGACCTAGGGATTTCTTCCTGTCTAAGAGGGATCTAAAGGAACTTTTTGTGTAGCTTTGTGTCTTCACTGCATTATCAAAACAGTGCAAGTGACAGCATGTAGCACATGAGTCCATTCATTTTTAAAGGTTATGGGAAAGGAAAATTCCCATTTGTAATCATTTCCTCCTTAACAGTTGCTAATCTAGTAGGCTAAAACTAAAGCACTCATCTTGAATGCTTTCCTTGATAGAGTCAGGGAAAAATAAATACAATAGTTACTTTGGAAACTTCAGTTTAAGGAAGCATTTTTTTCTCCTTATTGAAGTCGCAGAAAAAATGAGATGCTCCAAATACACCAAAAACACTTAAGGGTACTTTATGTTTTCTCATAGATAATTATGATTTTATTTTTTTTTTAAGAATAACCTGTCATGGGGAAAATCTGTTCAGTTCTTGTGATTTAATCAAATCAGTATCAAAGCAGCTTATTAATTTGTTAATGATAAATAACTAACAAGTAGGAATGAGCTATACTTTCAGGATCAATATCAGCAGTACAAAAGATAAACTACAATACTAGACACTTAGGTTAGTAAACAGTTGCAAATTTCTAAGCATTCTTCTGTAATTAATCCCCAGAAGTTTTAATTGCACACAAACACAGAGAGATGGTTGTGCACCAGGCCACCTCCAGGCTGTGTGGGTCACTAGCAGCCCCATTGCAGGGGAGTGGACTTTCCCTCATTTTCTCATTGGGATATGTAGTTGCTTCAGCATCAGGTGAGCTCCTACCTTTCCTAACCACCCACAAGACCCAAAATCCCACAAGACCTTGGATGTGCTTAGACATATCCTTGTGTGACAGCACACATGGACAGCCTCTGGATGAGTGCAGACGCCGCACAGGAGGGTGCTCTCTCCAATCTGGAGGGAGTTTGCAATGTCTTGGCCACTTTGCACAATGCCAAACCATGTCCAGCTGCTGCCCTCTTTCTGCCTTCCTATCTCTCATTTTGCAAACTGTCATGCTTCTGTTGCCCTCTTTTTCAAGCTAACCTTTGCCTCGGAAGACTGATTCCCTGGTTACTTCTCAGTCTGACTGGTGGTCGTATTTTCCTCTGGCACAATAAGTTTGGAGCAAATTTCTACTAAGGCAGTCTGGGGTATTTCACTCTACAAACATGGGATGCACTCACATTCCTCTTTTTCAGCTGTTGCTGTCCATATCATTTTGCAGCTGGAGAGCCTGGTCATCCTTCCAAACCATTATGTAAGGAAAGACAGATTTTTGAAGTCGAGAATTGAATATTACTGTTAATACCTTTCTGTATCATTATGTGGAAAAAAAAAACCAAAAAACAAAAACAAACAAAAAACCCTCTTTGTTTTCCATATAAAGCTATTTCCATTCCTTACTGCAATGCATTAAGCAAGTGAGAAGAAAGGTTCTATCAAAACCCAAAGGTTCTATCAAAACCCAAACATAAGAATTTTCAGATCACAGAATGCCCTTCAAATCACACCAAATTATAAACTGGGGCGTAGTTTTAACTGCACTTAAAAACATATATATAAAAGACACAGAATATAAACCGTGTCTCTGAAAAAAATGCTGCATTCCTTTTCTGAAATCTTCACAGTGCTCACAGAAGAAAAGCCCCAAAACTCTTAGTGTTGTGTATTTCTGAACAAATAATTACTATTTGCCTGAGTTTCTTCAAATACTTTTGAAGAAATATTTTGGTATTCAGAGAATGAAAGAAAAAACATTTTCATCAAAAAAAGACAGGTTTATGAATTCAGTTTGTGTCATGTGGGGCTAACTCTTTGCTGTGATAATTAGTTTTTAAATTAAGAAAATTTGTTCTTGCAATTAAAGAAAATCAGCAGAGAACCGTGGAAACAAAAGAAACCGTCATTTATAACATCAGATATTCACTGACTGCAGTTTTAGGCAGTTCACCTTTCAGTACAATTCAAAATTACAAAGTTCAACCAGCTTTAGCTTGATGCTGCTAGAAGAGCTAAAAGATGTTTAGGCTCCGAATATTAATTATCACACTGCTTTAAAGGTTACAACAGTCACTTTCTCTAAGGGAGGTCATAGTTCTGATTGAATAAAGCCCTAATTATAGAATATTTTAGAACATTGCAGTGAGCTGCAGCAACAAAGCCAGAAAATAGATTATTTTTTCTTTAACAGTCCTAAAAAGATAATAAAGGCGTGAGAAAAAGAGAAAAACAAATCTGTTAAAAAAAATAAAATTGAGACAATTATGGATTAATAGTTTGTTTATTTTTTCTCCATTGGTATAGAAGAGAAAAAAGATATTACTCCATGCTAACTACTGTGCTTGCTATTATTAGAGATTTTTTTTAATGAGAAAGCTGGATCAAGTGCTATTTAGCAATACAGACATGATTTGTATTACTGCAATTGAAGCAATTGTTTTCTGAAAAATACAAAGACATCAGCACTTGCTGACATTTAATACCTACGAATAATTAGTAATTAAATATTAAAAAGATTCTTTTGTGTAGAAGGTAATACATTTCATTCAATCATGACTAACTTGCATGCAGAAATTTATGCTACCATAATGGAAGCCATACAGCATTCCATATTTAGAGTTTAGTCCTGATGTGATATTGCTTTTAAATCTTCAGACAAATTTTTACATATCATTGTAGAAATTTTATATAGAAAACTTTTTTGTGAAAGTCTGGCAGGTGTGAATGTCCAACACATCTAATTTTTTCTTCTTTTCTTCTGCCTTGCCTTCTCTTCTGCTTCCTCCATATTGTGAACCCCTTCCACCTTGTGGATTTTCATTCTTTCTGTCACCCAAAAAATCACTACAGCCAGTGCAAAGACATCTGTTCCCCCTTGCCAAAGCAGGTGAAAAATATTGCAAGTCCTTTTTTTCCTTAGGAATCTAAGACTTCCCTTCCAGTCTTTCCTACAATCATGATGGTCCTATTACTGCAGGCTCAGGTGTCTTGTGATAACAGACTCATATCAAACTGCAGCAGACTACAGATCTCCTGAGTCCTGGGTCCCCATTCTAGTAAATTTGTCTGAACCGATAATTAGCTTGGAAAAGCCTGCCAAGTGATGTCCTTATTTTTTCTTGATAAGCAGCTGTCAGCGGTGCTTAAATCAGTAATGTCCATCTGAAAACTAGCATATCCTGTAAGGTATTTCTAATTGACTTCTGACTTAACAGTTGTCTGACAAAAGGTCTGTGGGAGTTACAGAATGGAGTGTGAGTACATGGCTTACTGGGATAATTTGGATATAGCACAAGTCTTACCTGTGAATGATAGGCAGCAAAGATAACTGCAATGTTTCACCTTAGTTTCAAAACACCAAAATTAATCTCAGTCCTAATCTTTCAGTCATTTTGTTCTCAGTTGCAAGACAAGCAGCAAACGTATCATGCTTTGTTTTTAAAATCTGATAACCGCAGTATGGGAACAAAAAACACCATCACAGCTTTCCCTGCAATTTCCAAGGAGAGAGACAAAACCTGATTTGTTCAGATAAAGCCTCCCTACCAAAGGCTGAATTGATGTGGATTTACCTGCTATCTTCCTAATAAATATCCTCTGA